ATAAATAAATAAATAAATAAATAAATAACAATAAAATCAACAATATAAATCATAATCATTATCATTCACCATTTTATCAGTGATGATCAACATTTCTTGATTCTTGAAAGCCTCTCTTTGGACCTGCTTTGGCTTTGATCTGGATCTGGTCTCAGGTCCCTCACTGAGGTCAGATAGGGAACTTTGTTCAGACTCAGTTTCTTCCAGTGGTGTGAATCTGTTTTGAAGAAACTGCTTCATTTCTCTGGCTGTTATCAGCTGTTTTGATTACAGCCTGTTGTTTTCTTCTCCTTGCAGGTGGAGAAAAATCATTTCTCTGTAACTCTGGCCATTCATTGTCATCTAAGAGCTGAATCCTTCCTGAGAGATTTTTTGGTCTGGCACAAACAGAGTTCCATACAGTTTTTATTTATTTTTTTTATTCCACAGGACAAAAACACATCAGCTTTTTTATTTTTGCTTTTTTAGACTGAAACACATTAAAACAGAATCTGTTAAAAAGATGTAAATAAAAAGGAATAAAAAAACTTTTGATTCTTCTTTATGTTTGTTTTATAGTTTTGTGTGACTTTGATTTTGAAACTCTGATAAAGTTGTGCAGAAACTTAAGATCAGCTGAAGAAACTGATCTTTTCTGCTTTTAGAAAGAACTTTTCAGGTCGTTGGTTTTAAGTTTCCGTCAGAAATGCAGAATATCTGGTGAAAGTTCTTTATTTATTTACAGATAAATAAACGTTTTATTTCTGCAGGAGGAGATCGAAGCCTGCTGCGAGATGCTGCAGGAGAGGTGCAGGCGGCTTGGGTCCAAGATCGCCGAGCTGCTCATCCTTCCCATCTACGCCAACCTGCCGTCCGACATGCAGGCCAAAATCTTCACGCCGACTCCACCTGGAGCCCGCAAGGTGAGTCGGGTTACCTGACGCCACTGTTGTTTCTCGCCGGCGTCACCTTGGAGAGAGGAAGTCTGAAGTTTCCTCTCAGCTGACGCAGAAACACAGAGTCACCTGTTGCAGAAAGAAATCCCTGGAAAGAGAAACTGATCTGTTTTTATTGTCGGCTCCGCCTTTATGTCCTGAAATGACCTGCATTTATTGTGTAAGCAGCGCATCACTTCCTGTTTGTGTGTCCTCTCCAAGGTGGTGGTGGCCACCAACATCGCAGAAACGTCTCTGACCATCGACGGCATCATCTACGTCATCGACCCCGGCTTCTGCAAGCAGAAGAGCTACAACGCCCGAACCGGCATGGAGTCGCTCATCGTCACGCCGTGCTCCCGGGTAAAACCTGATTTTAACAACAGGAAGTAGCAGGAAGGATGATCTGACGCCATCTAAACGTTTTCGTTTTAGCTTTAATTAGTTTTTTAAACACTTGGCTTATTTTAATACGTTCATAAAATATAAAACTACAGGAAAAACGTTTCCTGCTAAAATGTAGCATAATGCTAAGAGCTAAATCATGCTTCTAAAATCAGACAAAGAAGCTGAAACTGAGTTGTTAAAGCTAAAAAGGCATAACACCAGCTAAAATAATGGAAAGGCTAAGTAAAAGCTAAAAGTAGCATAGCACTAGCTTAAGTAGTAGATAAAGCTAAACATATCCAGAAGAATTGAAAGGCTAGCTAAATGTAGCATAATCCTAGCTAAAAATGACCAAATCATTGTTATAATTAGCAGAATAGTAGCTATACCCAAAGCAGCTGGCAGCTAAATAAAAATAGCTAAAATAATTAAATGCCTAGCTAAAGACTGAAAGTAAAGCTTTAGCTAAAAGCAGCATAACTTTAGCTACAAATGACGGAATAATAGCTATAAGTTGCAGAATAGCTAAGGCTAAAAGTAGCACAAGCCTAGCTAAAAGTAGCACAAATCTAGCTAAAAGTAGCACAAATCTAGCTAAAAGTAGCACAAGCCTAGCTAAAAGTAACACAAGCCTAGCTAAAAGTAACACAAGCCTAGCTAAAAGTAGCACAAGCCTAGCTAAAAGTAACTCAAGCCTAGCTAAAAGTAACTCAAGCCTAGCTAAAAGTAACTCAAGCCTAGCTAAAAGTAGCACAAGCCTAGCAAAAAGTAGCACAAGCCTAGCTAAAAGTAGCATAGCACTAGCTTAAATTGCAGAATAGTAGATAAAGCTAAACATAGCCAGAAGAATTGGAAGGCTAGCTAAATGTAGCATAATCCTAGCTAAAAATGACCAAATTGTTGCTATAATTAGCAGAATAGTAGCTATACCCAAAAGCAGCTGGTAGCTAAATAATAGTAGCTAAAATAATTAAAAGCCTAGCAAAAGACTGAAAGTAAAGCTTTAGCTACAAGGTGCATAACACTAACTACAAATGATGGAATAATAGCTAAAATTTGCAGAATAGTAGCTAAAGCCAAAAACTAGCAGACAGCAGGCTAATAGTAACAAAATGCATGAAAGGCTAGCTAAAAGCTGAAAGTAAAATTATACTGTACTAGCTAAAAGTTGCCAAATAGCAGCTAAAGATAAACTGTATTAGCTAAAAGCAGCATACCTTTAGCTATAAATGACAGAATAATAGCTATAAGTTGCAGAATAGCTAAGGCCAAAAGTAGCACAAACCTGGCTAAAAGTAACACAAGCCTAGCTAAAGGTAGCGCAAGCCTAGCTAAAAGTAGCAGAAGTCTAGCTAAACGTAGCAGAAGCCTAGCTAAAAGTAACTCAAGCCTAGCTAAAAGTAACTCAAGCCTAGTTAAAAGTAACAGAAGCCTAGCTAAAAGTAGTAGAAGCCTAGCTAAAAGTAGCATAAGCCTAGCCAAAAGGAGCAAAAGCCTAGCTAAAATTAGCACAAGCCTAGCTAAAGGTAGCACAAGCATAGCTAAAAGTAACTCAAGCCTATCTAAAAGTAACTCAAGCCTAGCTAAAAGTAGCTCAAGCCTAGCTAAAAGTAGCACAAGCCTAGCTAAAAGTAGCACAAGCCTAGCTAAAAGTAGCACAAGCCTAGCTAAACGTAACTCAAGCCTAGCTAAAAGTAGGACAAGTTTAGTGAAAGACTAAACGTAGTGGAACAGTAGCTAAAAGCTAGAAGTAGCAAAAAACAGCTAAATGCATCAAAAGGCTAAAGGTCCTGTTTAGAATCTTTGAAGTGAGTTTCTGCAGAAAGGTTGAGAACAGTCAGTATCTTTCTTGTTGCAGATAACGTTTTTAAACAACCTCAGATTAAAAACAGAGTTTAATTCTGACGGGACTGATGAGCTCATGGCTAGTCAGAACGCAGCCAGTTGTCTTTAAATTAAGTTTTACTCACAGAAAATAAAAATAAAACAACAAATATGGGATCAAAGACAAACGTGACAGGACTTCACCGTTTGTCTCATGCTGGGTTCTTCTGTCAGGCTTCAGCCAATCAGAGAGCGGGCCGAGCCGGCAGAGTGGCTGCTGGGAAATGTTTCCGTCTCTACACGGCCTGGGCCTTCAAACACGAGATGGAGGAGACCACGGTCCCTGAGATCCAGAGGACCAACCTGGGGAACGTGGTCCTGCTGCTGAAGAGTCTGGGTGAGGAGACTGTAGGCTGGCAGGTCTGGTGCCGGTCCATACGGGTTCCATGACCCGGTTCTGTTTCTCTGCGCAGGTATCAACGACCTGATCCACTTTGACTTCATGGACCCGCCTCCTCACGAGACTCTGGTTCTGGCTCTGGAGCAGCTTTACGCTCTAGGAGCCCTGAACCACCTGGGAGAGCTCACAAAGGTAGGAGCTGTGAGTTCAGGATCGAGATTTCATCTGACAGGAAGAAGCTTCGGCTGCTGGGAGTTTGTTTACTGTTTGTTAAAAGATTTACCTTAAAATACATACAGTGGTTTGCAAAAGTATTCATACCCCTTGAACTTTTCCATATTTTGTCACATTACAACCACAAACATAAATATATTTCACT